GAAAAAAACACCTCTAGCCAAAACTCTATCTGGGAACATTGTTTTTTCAGCCAGCCCCAGGGACGAGAGGGAACACTACGAAGGAACAAAAAAGGCTGCTTTTGGCTCTTTTTCCCTTCTTTACAGCATGAAGCTAGCCTCATAGTGCCCAGCAGCTAGACCAGGCACGCCTTGTCAGCAGCGGGAGCAAGAAGATGGCAGTGAAGGTCAGCTGGGGTGATGGAGAGCAGGGCAGCAAGGGGCCAAAAGGGCAGAGATGGGGGGAGATATGTGGGTGGGGGGAATTGACGCACCCTTGCAGTTTTAAGTGCGGGTGGACTGCCGAGCCCTCAAATTTTGATCACGTGACTGCAGGGGTGCTGCAACAGTCATAATTTTGGGCACAGGTCGTAAATCCATTTTTTCATCACCATCGTAATTTCGAAAGGTCGCTGAATGAATAGCCATTAAGGGAGGACTAACTGTACAGCGAATCAAATTTGAAACTAAACTGGAATAGATTTTGGAGGTTGTCTCAGATACAGGCAGACAACCAGTTACTTATCAGCAGTCACCATCAGCAGAAGCACCAATCATCAACTGAATAGTCCAGGTCCCTTGTAATTTGCTTTCAAGATTCCAGTCAGTCTTTCCCCATTGGTAGCTAGATCCAAAATGGCTCTCTCACTGTGACATGACCTCCTTAACTGCCTGATGTTTTGCTCCAAATCCCTCCCCCATATCCTTCCCCTTCCAGCAATAGGAATGTGACTAGACTTCCTTCTATACTGGCCCCTGCACAAGAATTCAACTGAAAATATCTCAATTGTAGGAAACAAGGCAACATCCACAGCAGCTAAAACAGAATGGAACCCCCAAAACACTTTTTCTATCTGGAACAGCTGCCTTTTGGATCATACCAGAACAAAACATCTGAAACTGGTATTTGAGTTCATGCACGGACCACCTGAAATTGACTGTTCCATGGACACAGTCCATGCACAGAACATTTTTTTATCCTTCTATCAGCTATTATGTTTTCTTAGAATATTTAAAACACACGTACACACACTAAGTAGAAATGCAGTGAATTCATTTATATATAAGAACCTTTAAATTCAACTTTCTCCACTTTTTTTTCTTTTACTAAAAATGAGGAGTTCAACACTACTGCTTGAATGAAATTGATTACTTGGTTTGTGGTAATCGTAACAGTATTCTGTGTATTATTAAACATAACTGTAATCTGTTTAGAAATAGCAATACTTATTCTGTAGGAAGAATGGAGAGGAGATTAGATAGACAGACAGACAATGTAGTTTATTCATTTTCAACAACACATAATTAGCAACACAGACAAAATTCTATCAGTTTTGTTAATAATAAATACTACCAAGTTGAGTTCTCCTATCTCATCAGATAAGAAACTGTGTATGTCACATAAAATGGAGAACAGTTCTGACTTTAACAGCTAAATTATATTTCCTTAAATATAGAACTTACATACTGTTACATGTTTCTCCACAAGCTTAACCTAATGTTGTTCTGCATCTGACTTTGCATGTCTGGAGGCTCTCCATTGCTCCATCTAACCATGTAACCCAGAACAAACATGGCTTAAAAATCAACTACATATTTCCCCCTTTTTCCTAGTCCCTACCATCTAATTCAATAAAATTCAAAAGCTTTCATTATTTTGTCTTCAGTTGGCCTAAAAAATATGGCCTGTGGACTTTGAATTTTTTTGTGATGAACCATGGCTACTATCACTTTTTTACTTTTCTTACTTTCTGGAATGCTTTTTACATAGTAATGTTATTGCTGAGTATATCCTCCTTCAACTAAGAACCTCCAATTTTCACTTGCAAAGTGGTTTATTTTGCAACCTACTTCTAAGTTATTCTCCTTTTACTTGCTGTATTGTTCAAACTTTCTGAATTCAAAATCTTGCCATTTCTTAGCCAATACAGCATCATCAAAAGTTATCTCACCAACATTACTTGAGGGGTGGCCTTGTCCCAAGAACATCAGCCTGCCCCACACACTCTCACAGGGAGGGCACACTCCAGGTTTCTTCTTTTAAGTTATCGTCTTATGGGACCTAGGAACCATGTGTTTTCTGTGGTTGCCCCTGCTCTCTGGAATGATTCCCCTCCCCGATATAGGATAGGCCCCCAAATCTCCTTGCCTTTAGGAAAGTTCTTAAGACCTGGCTCTTCCCCAGGCATTAGGGGTTGGTTGAGTAGGAGCTCCCTCTGAAGTTTGTTTTGGTCTGTGCTTGGTTGCCATATTTTACATTTTATACTTTATATTTATGTATTGGCTCCTTGTTGTTAGATGATGATGATGATGATGGTGGTGGTGGTGGTGGTGGTTTGTTTATGTTGTGTGCTGTCTAGGGTCACACTGAGTTGGGCAGCCTTATAAATCATTAATTACATACATACATACCCACAGATACATCAATTCTCCTCTGGCCTTTCCCCTGCTTTATTCGTTGTGAGTCAATATTACTTTCCAAAAGTTTTCTACTGCCCGAGGGAACGCCAAAATAGCATATGGCAAGCCCTGCCAACTGGCAAAAGGCAATGGCCCTCATGATAACGATCCCACAGAAAAGGCTTACTAGGTTCCATGCATGCCAACATTATTTAATACAGCTCCGGTGCGACACTAAGCTACTGACGTATACATTTTTTTAAGACAACAAACTTTCCACAAACCTCCACCAAAGAATACCCCCCGAGTCTACTCTGGGTTTATACCCCGCACAATTTATCACCCAACCCCACGACATTTTGTGGGAGATAGAAACCTCCAACTCCTGTGTAACCTGGGTTTCTTTCCTGTAAATTAAGGCGAGGTATATTTCGCCTCGTCTTCGTTTTCTTTTCATGCCGCGATTCCCCTCTATCCCCCCGTCCCGCTTTCTTGACTCTTCTCCCTCCAAACGCTCCTTCACAGAGAATCCACCCTGCAGATCCCCAGCTGTCATCGCTTCTTGACCCACCTTCCCAGCGGCCACCCCATCCCAGTCCCACTCACAGGGTCTTGGGCTGCCCGTCGTCTTCCATCACGCTACAGGAAAGCCGCTCCCAGACAGAGCCAGGATGCTGCACCGAAGGGGAAAAAATACAGGGAGGCTCCGAGACACGACTAAAAAAAGGGAGCCGCCTGAGGCCTCTCGTTTTTGTTAGGCCTCGGCAACCCCCAAGCTAGGATTCAATAGAAAGCTACAGGGGGAAGGGGGAGGGTGAATCAAAGGGTCCACAAAATGGCCGCGGCCGCCAACCACTCAGGAAATCATGCAATGCGCAAGCGCACCGCAACACAGCTCTTCTCCCACCTTCCTCGGCGTGACCATAGAAAGAGAACGTTATCCTCGATTCTCAACCTTGGCGAGTTTAAGATGTGTGGACTTCAACTCCCAGAACTCCCCAGCCGGCATGCTGGCGGGGGAATTCTGGGAGTTGAAGTCCACACATCTTAAAGTTGCCAAGGTTGAGGGACATTTCTTTGGAGAAACGCAAGTGCTCTTCTTCCTGGTTAACGCCAGGAGTGGGGAAAGAGGGCCTTAGTTTCGTATGGACATGGCGGGGGGGGGGGGGAAGGGGGCCCTTGTTTTCGTAGGGGGATGGCGGGGGGCGGGGGGAGCTGGCTGTGTTGCCGAGGCATGCAGATGGAAGGAAGACAGTGGGATAATGGGGAGTGGAACTTCGAGTGTCTCGTATAAATTCGTTCACCTAGAATAAGTTGTGCTGAATTCCGAAGCGCGAGCTGCTTTCTCTTGCCGCAGTGCCTATTTTCGATGACTGGATTTAGAAGTCGTCTGAATGCAGTGGAATTGGCGCTCAGCCAGAGTCACGCGAAGGCGCGGAATGCGCGACCAAACTTTTTCCACGCTAATAGTTCTTATACCTATTTTCCAACTGTGTCTCATGAAGAGTTTATTATGAGCTTTCTTAAACTCGTGTGGTCATTGTTCACGAAATAGTTTCCCTTGAAGTGTGTATCCAGGGTATTTGTTTACTAACACTCTTCAGGTGAGTAATACCAGTAGTAATAACAATAGATATCAGTTCTGTAAATGTTTACCCTAACCCAAAGTATTTCTCATCCTCCGATCCTTATCTGTAATAAGGAACATCAATTATAGACTAGCTGCAGACTAGGACAGTTTTGCCTGCCGAGATTATTGATCAAAAAGTTCAGAAGAAAGCATCAAATGTTAAGAAGGAAGAACAAAAAATCAGTGAATATAGGCTGAGGGAACTGGAGATGCTTAGTTGTTTAAGGAGGAAGGCAATATGATAGTATACTTCAAATACCTGAATGACTCACATAAAAGTTAAATGATTAGTTGGACATTGACTTTCACAGTGAAGCTATTTTTTTTCGAGAAATGGATGCTGTTTTTTGCTGGAGATCTTCAAGTAGAGGTTAATACCTGAAGCTTTTGTTGTATGTTCTGCATTGAGCAGGGACTTAATTAGATGAAAATTAATACTTGAAAATACTGTGTCTGATTTGTGTAACAGCTCCATCTACACTCCCCCCCACCCCATACTGGAGGCATAGCTGTGAGGTCAGCAAAGAGAAGAACCTTAAATGTGTACCAATATACACACACTGTATAGCAATGGAGATGTTGATTTTAAATATTAAAATACAAGTGTGGGGGGTCCCCATAAAATGAGATGGATGGCCAAAGGGGGACAGATTTTCTTCAGTAGTGGCACCCCAATTGGATTCCTCAAAGTTCCAGGCTTTTATTTTCAATCCTTCTAATTGTTTTATGCTGTTTTTATAATGTTGTGCCTTTTAGCTTTTTTACATTTACAATGTAATTGTTTTATGAGTGAAATATATTATAAAAGATGGTTTAAAAGATGAATGGTGGTATTTGTGTGGTATTATTAGTCATTTTCCTTTTAAATCCATCTCCCATTCACCCAGATATGAATAAAATGTTGGTCAACTTCAAACTCTTCCTTCAATATTTATTTTAAAGCTAATTGCTATCCTGTCTTTACTGAAAACATTCAGTAAATGTTTTCAGGACAATTTTTACTTTATAAAAGTTTTGCCTCACAAGACTGGATGTTGAAGCATCCAGACCTTTGTATTTTAAGCTTTAATCACTGCAACAATAAAAGTGTGGCTTTATCTGTATTTTTTATGAGTTAGCTGTGACTTCACTATGGTAGGAAGAGATTATGTTGCTGTTAAATTAATGAATCTAAAATAGAGAAACACAGGTTCTAGTCCATGATACCTTATGCTTTAAATGGTTTAGTTTTTAAAATGTCACATTAGCTGTTTTTCTTATAATATACTGATATTATTGTAATTTTTAAAAATACTTTGCCTATGATCAGGACTTCTTTTGTCTGAAAAGTTACGATGAGGTGGCATTCAGTAATGTAGTTGTAGTTCCTCATTATGGAAGTAAGAAAAAAGTCATTTAAGTATTCATGATAAAACTACAACAGCCAACATGACTAACGACAGTTCGTGGTCTCTCTATTCTAATTGTTCCAAAATATGTGGCCTCGTGTAACATTCTTATTTGAACCAATACAAGATGTGAGGTGTAGCAGATTTGCATGAAAAATGTAGATTAAAAAGGAAATTAAAATTTTGTGGAAGTTTATATTCAGTACAAAGGACAAAAATGTGTATTGACTGAAACAATATATTTTGCACAGATGCCACAAGGTGGCTCTATTTACTTCTTATCTTGCACACTTTCTCAACAAGCTACTAAGTAGTTGCAGGTTTTGGATGGCTTTAGAAATGTCTGAATCTGTCTGAAGATATATTTACCCAAATATACTATCTCTTCAGAATTGTGCTATATTAACAGGCAATATAGTACTAGTTCAGAGAACTTGTCCCTTAGATTTTTCACTATTACAGAAATATACTGTTCCAAAGTAAATGACTTTATAGTGCAGTATGCATTTTGCATGTTTTTGGATGTACTGCAAAATAATCTGCATTTACATTTTGAATAGCTTTTACCAGAAGTGTTCTGTCAAAACTTTAGTTAATATTTTAATACAGGAATAATCAACTATGGTATTCTCTAGGCTTGAGCAATTTTACTCTTCAGGCAGTAATTTGGAGCTATAAGAGTCTTTTGCCCTGAATATCAGTTTCCATATAGATAGTCAAATTCTTTAATTAACATGACATTAATTGTTGAGTGCATGCAGTCAGGCATAGTGTAATATGCAAGTATGTACAGTACATTTTTGTAAGAGTATATTAAAATTTGAGAAATGTGTGTCTTGAACTTTGAAAACATTTTTTCTGTTGCTTTCTGTTGAAACTGGGCAATCAAGTCATATTGAATAATATCAAGGAGCTGGATTTGACTATTGGTTTCATGAGATTTAAGGACAATTTCTTGCATTATAAAAATAGAAATTAAGTTCCAGTGGGAGGAGAACAATAGGATTATATAATTTTTTGATAGAACAGTATTACAGATAATACAAACATGGAAAAGATAGATCCCACAAATGCAAAAGTTCTTGTTTAGGGGAAAGAAATCAGATCCAGAGGTATAGATAAGCAACATCTAGTTCAACAATAGTATTTGAATGTGTTTCCAGTATTCTTTTCAATCTTAGTCTAAATATGAGTCAACAATATGAGATGAATACAGAAAAGGTCAATTCAGTTTGGGCTGTATTAAATATAGAATACTATGTCTATCTCTGGGTGCTACACTTGGGCAAATTGGAATAGATTCAGAGGGAGGCAACAATGATCAAGGATTCTAGAATTGGAACAAATTCTCTGAGAAAAAAATGGAAGAAACTGGGTATATTTAACCTTGGGTAGAGAAAACTAAAGGATATATGTCAAACACACTCTTCAAGCATCTGAAAAATCGCACAGGCCATAATCTGTTTACTCTCTGCCATCCTGGACTATAAAGCATTGAATGATTTTTTAAACTATAGCTGAATTTTAGGAAAAGCTTTCTAGCAATAAGAATATATTGAAAGTTGAGTCAATTACCTAAGGAGATGGTGAGCTACTTTTCATGGATTAGTTCAAAGAGAAACATCTCTTGGGGATATTTTAATTTGTATTCCTGTATGGAATAGACTTGGAATTTTTTACATTCACCTTTCAATGCCCTGGGTTTAGTAATCATTGCTCGCTTAACTAAAAATATATACAGGTAAGTCATGATTAGTGCAAGTTCAAATAGTGCAATATTCAATTTAATGAGAATTATAAACTCATACCAGGTCACCTTAATGAGAACCAAAATTCAGTTAATGAGAGGCTAGCTAGTACACATGTGCAGTTATGAGAGTTCTCCAGCCTTTTGGAGGTACTGATTACCCCATTAGGAGTTTTGAAAAATGTTATGGCCATTTGTGAAAAACACGCATTTACCAGAAGCAAACTGATAAGGCTGGTGTCTAATACAGGTGGTCCTCCGTTAATGACCACTTGTTCAGCTACCGTTTGAACTTGTGATGGCACTGAACAACAGGTACTTACGACTGGTCCTTGAAGTTCTGGCCATCACAATGTTCCTTCAGTTATGATTGCAATCCGGGTGCTCGGCGCCCAGCTCATGATTACGACATTGCAGCATCCTGCAGTCATATGTTGCCATTTGTGACTTTCTTTGCCAGCTTCCTACAAGCAAAGTCAATAGGGAAGCTGACAGGTTGCAAATGGCAATCATATGACGTCCTCACTTAATGACCCATGGTGATTCTCTTAATGATGACAACTGGATAACGCTGGAACTGCTGTTGCTAAGTGACGTGGCCATGTGACATTGCGCTTTACAACCACATCACTGATGGAAATTCTGGTCCCAAATGCCATCATTAACCAAGGACTACCTGTACCGCTTTAGCTCCCAGGATGTTCTCTATGCAGATGGGGCATACTTCTCAAAGCGTTGGACTACAATCTCTTAGTATTTTTACTTCCTAAGAATACCTATGGAATACATTGCATGGCCTGCTAGCATTTTTAAAAAAGTAATAAATTGACTGCTGCTGCCCCAAAAGACAAGCTGCTGAGTGCCACCAAGTCTCACTGCCGCCACCAGCTCCCGTGCTGTCAAACAGCTGATCAGCACACCAGATATTCCTTTGCAGCCTGCTATGATTTTTAATTTATCAGTGTGACCCTTTCCCCTCTACAATTTGTGCAGGTCTGATTAGACCTTTTACATGTGAGAAAGTCACTGAACTGTTTGCACTTGCCAGTTAAATAAAGACTATTTTTGACAATGTTTCAGTTCCAAACTATATACAGTAAA